TTTTATTAGTATACATTTTTTCAGAAAATATTTATCATAAAATTGGTAAGAAAAATGTATTGGAAACTATTTTTATTTATTAAAAAAACAATAATATCACAAAATATAACTCTTTGCAAATTTGTTGACCTTAATAATATGACCATCAATTTTTCATTCCAAATTGCCTCTTCACTTAAGGAAATTAGTTAATGTTTCACTAACAATTTCAAGAGCTGCCAAAATTTGGCTTTAAACTCAAGCTGCACTTATAAAATGATAGGCAGATACATAACTTTGTCTGCTACTTAAACTCTTATTTAAAATGTATTTTATTTAAGCCATAAGCATCCGAAAACACAACACTCATTTATATTTAAACAAAACATTTGAAATAAAAAATTAATTTCGAATGCTTCTTTGTTCACTTGCATAGTATTTTCCAACAAAAATACAGTTTTATACTACTTGACAACAACACTTTACCTTCTGCACACTGCCGAAGAGACCAAACACCTACTTATTACACTATTTGACGCATTCACACGTCTATTACTTATGTTTTTAACTTAGCTATAACTGTAACACTTTTAGACACTGCTACGAAGCTGGTAAAGCTGGTAAGCCAAACCACCGCACGCTATGAATAGTTCAGACGTACTGCGCGCTGCACTTGGCAAACTTWTATATTTCACGGCTCAATTCGACTAACTTTTTCAATTTTCGCCAAACCGCCGCGATTGATTGACTGCCAACGGACAGCGCTTTAATTCGTGCGCTCTTCCAACAATACACACAAACAGATGCACGTGAGTGTGTCGGCATGTAGCTGAGAGCCAATGCAAATGCGAAACTCGGTCGAAAACGAAAAAGCCACTGTACATACACACACACGTATACACATGTGCACGCTGTGTCTCCGTAGCGTAAGTTGCGAATTTAGAGCGTTCGGCGCAGCCGCCAGCAAGCTACTGTGCTGGCTGTTAACGCCGACGACGCCGGCGGCGCTCGGCACCCACCTGATGTGTAAGGAAGCGCCGAGCGTGTCGTTGCGCTTAGGCATCGAAAGTTATAGCAWAAGGTAAGCGTTAATGAAATYGTATATTGTTGCGCATCTATRTGTGTGTGTAAGTATGAAGCACATCAGTTAATCGATCATATTAAAATCAACCCGTGCGTGGATTATAAAAGCTCAAGTGGTTAAGCATCTTACTAAGTATTGCAATATTAAACAACAACATAATATGATGACGAGGATCACACTGATATGCCGTTTAAGTAGATTGCGCACATTAGGGTTGCTCTTATTTAGTAAAATTGACAGAATTTTTTGCCTCTGGTTTAAGCTATTGTAATTAATAAGAAGAGACGCATATACATACAAAAAAAGGAGAATCCGAAATGCTTGAGTATGAAGATTTCAAGAAGCTTGCCGACAGGGGTAATGCTCGAAAATTCTATGAAAAGATGCTGCGATTAACGAGATACGGGTTTCAAGACCGGACCATGCTCTTGTAGGACCCAAAGTGGTGTTCTAGTGGCTGATGTTCAGAGCATACTGAAGTTATGAAGGGAACACTTTTCCAGCCTGTTGAACGGCAATGCAAGTATAACATCTGGAGATGGCGAACCCGTTTCCCCAATGGATGATGATAGAATAGATGTACCATTGCCTAACCATAAAGTTCTTTTCGAAGAAGAATCGAAAAGCAATTATTCGCCCGTAGAACAACAAAGCGGCAGGGACCGATGAATTACCGTTCTAGCAGTTCAAATACGGATGTGGAGAGCTGACAAGGTGCAWGCAGCAGCTTCTTTGAAACATATGAGCAGATAAAACTAGCGACTATTGGAACCTAAGTGTAGTCTGACCAATCCATAAACAGGGGGACCCACAAGCATATAAGGTCTTATCGAGCGGAGTCCACCGTCAAGAAATTAATTGGACCTTATTAGTGTTAGATAGACCTGCAAAATCTACCATTGACCAGATTTTTACCATGCGTTAAGTCTTCGAAAAGAAACGTGAAATGAAGATCGACATACCCTCTCTTCGCCGATTTTAAAGYCGCGTTTGACAGCATGAAAAGGACCGCTCGTTTTGAACTTGGTATCGCAAAGCTAATACGGCTGTGTAGCTAACGTTAAGCAACACCAAAAGCCTCATCAGGATCGGGAAGGACTTCTCCGAACCGTTTGATACCATGCGTTTTGTCTCCTGTCATCARACAAACAGTCATCGCAGTCGCTATGGCTCGCACGCCACTGTTGACAGTCATACGCACTAACACAAACAGTATCAGCCTTGAAACCCAAAGTAGAATCACTCTTGCCAACAGGTGCTACTTTGGATTGAATAGGCAATTGAAAAGCAAAGTCCTCTCTYGACGAACAAAGTCCAAATTCTATAAACCCTTCATCAATCCCGTCCTGCTATGTGGGGTGGAGTCATGCACAGTTACATCATCTGATGGAGAGAAAAGTTTCGCGGAATATTTATGGTCCATTGCGCATTGGCAGCGGCGAGTATCGCAGTCGATCGAGCTGTAGGAGATTTATGGCGACATTGACATATGTACATATTTCGGTGAATCAAGAGACAAAGGTTTTTTGCCTAAGTCATGTCCGCATGGAAGAGAACACTCCAGCTTTAAAAATTTTCGATTCAGTACTCGCCTGTAAAAGCAGTGGATAAGGAAGACCTCCAATCCGTTGGAGGGATCAGGGGAAGAAGGACCTGGCTGCACCTGGTATCTTGAATTGGCGCCAAATAGCAAAAAGAAGAATCGCGTAAGCTATGTCTACGCCAGTAATGAAGGAGAAGAAGCTTTTTGAAACGTTACCAACGATTTCTCAGGTTCTACATGACCGATTTAGCGGAAATTTTCAGAGAATCATTTTWATGGGTTTGTTTATGTCTGCAACCCATAACCCAGAATATGTGCTATTTGAATAAAACCCACTTGCGTTGGCGAGTCAAAGTTAAGTAGAAAGGTGGGAAAATAAGCGCCACCAAGCTAAAATACCATTTTTCCGTGCGGCTTTGTTATAGTCCACTCAACCGTAATGAATCTTACGCTGTTCTATGACCAGCAATTAGGAAGTATATTGCATATATGTACATACATATAACACAGTAAATAGTTTTTATATCCGCGAGCTGAATAAGGCAATTTTTTGATATAAAATTTTTAGAAGCTTAAACCCGTTACCGTTAATGCGCTTTTATTTATAGCTGAAGTGTTACACAATAATTTACTAGCTGCTATATTCATGAATCAAAAACRTATTTACACTTATTTACATATTTATATGCACCCACAAGTGGCGTATTAACTAAAGTAAATATTGTAAAATATATTACAGTATTTATACCGTAAAGCAGTAAATCATTAGCCAACATAAAACAACAATCTCTTGAGATTTACATACCATATGTATCTAACTATATATTTTTTTGCCAGCTATAAATATTTTACCCAAGCTTTTTTATTTGACATTTTGCTTTTTTACACAACTTTCGTCGCTTAAAAAAACTTCATTTACTGATGAAACATAGGTATTTTGTATTAATTAAATTTTTATTTTGTCTAGTTCGTTTTTGCTAAACMGTGATTTCAAATAAAACAATAGCATTTTTAGTATTATACATGATAATGTTTAAAAAAAACTATTAATTCACAATAAGCATAAATTTAGTTAAACAGTTCAACTGTATTCAAAGAAATTATGCCATAAATTCAAATATTATTTACAAATACAAAGTTAGGTTGCCAACTTTAAGTTTTGACATAGAGCATACGATGGGCCAGTGACTTTCCGACCAGTTTGCCGTATTCTATTATTAAATCCCGATCATCATCATCACCAGTGATCTGAAAATAAAATATTTGGGCAAAATTTAAAAAATTACAAATAGTGTGCAATACAAAGACCGATAAACATAATTTTAAAAAAATAAAATATATTATTTTTTCACAAAATAAGCGAAAATTATGAATTTAATGAATTATGAATTTGGATATTTACATAATGGCAGCTGCAGGTATGAAAGTACATACATATGTTGGTATGTATGCATATATATATGAAAGTATGTTGGTATGTATGTACATATGTAAGTATAAAAAGTAAGTTGATATGTCTGTATGTATGTAAATAAAACACGTGCAATTACCTTTTTGTAAATTCTGCTCCTTATGATGTCCAACATGTTGTCAATGCTGGGTATTTTCAATGACTGCGCAATATTTTAAACAACATGGAAAAGGAGCAGAGTTTTCAAGATATACCAATAAATTTTAAGCRAAAATGTTATGAAATGACACAGATTTCTAATTAAAGAGTTTACAAACTTTTCTTTGAAGTAAATAACATTTTTATTTTRTTTTGATTGAACRTTTATCGAATATAACGAAGCAAAAATTATTTTTTAATATGTTATAATCATAGACAATTCGTTATATAACCTAAATTTGCAATAACATTCTTAAAGTAATTACTTAATAATGAAATCTGTGTCATAGCAATGAATAAATTAAAAAAAAAAAACTTAAACTTAATATTAATATTAAAAACCGAGTRACACTATTCAGTTAAATCAAGAAAAAAAGTAATTTTGGTTGCACCGAAGCTATAATACTCTTTGCATATAAAAACTGTTCATACAAGAATGATCCGATCTGAGCAATTTCAATCGTTTTAAATTTTGGGTTTGTAACGGGTACCTAATTTCCGTTGGGATCTAAGTTGTCATCTGGGCCATCCAACGGTACGGATAGGAAACGTGCTGTTTCGACGGTGTTGGACCACAGGGAGAGGGTTGTCAGATGTGTGTCAAATTTTGTGAAGACACTTTGTCAAATAAGGAAATAATCCATACAAGGGAATGAGCAGTTTCTTTGCCGGAAAAGAGCAAGTGCAAAATTTCAGACCGATATCYCAAAAACTAAGGGACTAGTTCGCTTATATACTGACGATAAATCGACGCAGCTCGGCACTTTGATCATATAAATAAAAATTTTATAAGTTGTCCGACATGTCCTTCAGAGTATTACAAGCTTCGTGGCAAACTGAATATATCCTATAAAGAGCGATTTCGAGGAACAAAACAATGGAAAAATTCCGTATATGGGATTCTGTGGATCATTCTGAATAACTTTGCTTAAGAGAYTATTGGTCTAAAGCCGGTTTCGTGCTAGCGATTTTTAAGGCGAAGGTTTTTAGGGATTTTAAAAAATTTTTAAGGTTTTTTAATATATCGGAGTAAATTTTTTAGATGTGTGCATTTGGATATTCTATTCTTCATTTGTCGGAATCGGCCACATTGGATAGCTAAATCACGCATCACCCATACAACCGATTACTCAGATATTTTAAACTTCGGTTTAAAAATCGGTAGATCGCAAAAGGAAAAAAATCGACTGGCTCTAATATAAATATACAGTAAAAATATGAAAAAATTGCCGTTAACAAATGCCAAAACCAAAAAATTACAGTTAGAACAAAATAAATCAAATTAACTTAGTTAGTTATTTTATAAAAAAAAAAAAAAACGAATTTAATTAGCCAAAACCGCTGCTAGTAGTTATTAAAGTATACATACCTGAATGTACTGTCGATAAGTTAAATAAGTGTTGTCGTATAAGAGCACAGCTTTGTTTAAGTCCGATTCTTGAAAATTCTCCGCATCTTTAGCGCTGGCATTCTCATTAAAACGTTGATACTTATTTTGATTTAATTTATAACGAATTTCTGTAATAAAAAATATAAGTTTTCGGCAAATTTTTAATTTATATTAGAATTAATTATTATTATTATTACCATCAGTCAACAGATGCCAAGTGTACACCTCGGGGCATAGTAGATATGAGGGCGTCAAACGGCCCTTATAACGCATTTTGGGGCAAGAATGTATGTAGAAACCCATATAGTAGTACTTAAGAGCGGGCACTTTGTCAGCCAATTGCTGGACAAGATCAATTTCTCTGTAATAATAAAAAACACAGTTATATGCAAAAACAACATATACACTTCCAACACACCTCAGAGAACCATAGGTACCCAAGGACAAGAAGCTATAGTCTGGATCATAGAAAAAGTATACTGAACTAACACAATATGGCAGTATGTCAATTACAGCGACTGCTATAAGCTTATCGTCCAACCAATATTGTTGATGAAACGAGCCATAACCGACTGCGGGACCATCACGTGTTTTCGTATGCTACAAGCAAAAGCAAGAGAACAACAACATTAAATAAAACAAAAATACTTTTTGACGCAATTTCGGCGTTATGAAATATATGCTTGTCAATAAAAAAAAAAAAAACAATCAAAATAATAACTGTTAGTTTTTCTTTAATTTAACCTTGATTGGTGACTCTTGTAAAAATTCCAAATAATCACTAATAAGAGTAGGTGGATCATTGTGTACGATTGTTTGATACTTCTGGTAAAGCGCATATGTCGTATCTAGCGTATCCTTAAATTGTTGGCTTTTAACTTGTACCAGTTTTAACTGTGAAATATAGATGAGAAATCCATTTAATTACCTTAACAGGAGACATGTAACAAAAACGCTCTAAACTAGATGGTGTTAGACGATTAGGATCGTCATTGTGTACGAGCAATTGGTATTTCTTATATAAATTGAATGCTTCATCAGTAACGTGTTTTTTATTCGGCGGTATTAAAATCACCTGTAAATAGCAACAACAATACAAATCGAATCGAAATGAAGATTGATATTTTATTTATTTAAGTAGTTTTATTATACGAGCTTCTAGAATGTAAATAGTATATACATGAGTTGAATATTTCTACCAAATTGCCAGAACAATGATAACCCATATATCGCAAATAATATAAAATAAAAAAAAAGCTTAGAAATTGTTACTTACCTGTAATTTGTGTTTGTCATTCGGTTGGACATCGGCAAAATAGTCGGCAAGCGTCTTCTCTTGAGAATTTTTTTGCTTTTTTCTTGTGGTTTTTGTATCTTCCGTTTGTTGTACACCCTTAGCGGCAATTTTTGCTTGCCTGCGCTCCAGACGGAGTATCTTAGCTTTCTTCCGTTGTACGTTTATGCCATCGTGTGCTAGAAGGATTTGAATATCAGTTAAAAGTAATTGCGAATAAGAATATTGCACCGAAGCTGTAATAAACTTCACAAATACTGAATTTGTTCAGCCAGCTACATATATGCTATAGTAGGGCACAATAGAACTAAGATCAAGGTGCAATCTTCATGTAATAACATATTTGCTATAGTGGTGTGTTCCTTACAAAAACATGATTTTGATCGTTGTTATTGTAACGGTTATCTACACCCAGGGTCATGTTTGTCATCGAAGTCATTTAACTGCAACGAACGCGCTCTTTCGATACGTTCGGACCATAAACAGCGGAGTGTTACATGAGTTGGGATCACTGGGCATGCAAAGAGGTGATTAGAGATATGTGGGGACTCATTTTACGCTGGAAGTATTAGTTTAACATACCACAGTATCAAGAACGAAATGGCACGAGAGTGATTCTGGATTCTCGTGAGTATTTTGCAATCTGCAATGTGGTGTAGTTCGTCACCAAGTACGCCATTCACTAAGAGGGCAAAAAGTTAACAGCAGAAAATGCGTGGAATTCATTATGCTCCTTGATCGGAAACATGCCAGTCCCGCTGTGCAAATATTCAACCGGAGACATCAAGAAGGATTACTGTAATCGTTCGGGAGCAAGATTTGGGAACGTTTTGAGCTTTTTGTCTGACTAATGACCGGCTKGCTTTTTGCTTTGTATGTTGCCAACAACTTTTCTTTGTCTTTTCCTCATGAGCTGCCGGCTAGCGACTTGAGCTTTTGTTGCGGCTTTGTACTTTAGCAGTTATTGCGGTCATATGTGGAGTGAAGAAGCACAGGCTGTCAATGTAACACCTAAAAACTATGGATTTATGTACGGCAGCTATTTTTACWGTAGTTTGTAGTAGTAGTCTGCCGACCGATGCCCAAAATCTAAGCGACTAGTTCCCGATACGGACAGACGGACGGACCGACTCGGTTTGTCATGCTAATAGGGTATAAAAAGTTTACATTTCGTACATTTCTTAGCTGCAATTTGACCATCTGCCACATCCGCACTTTCTGTAGGTGTGGTATTAATACWTTTTGTTGGCGACACCGTCTGATCATTGAAGTGTTCATGTTTTTTGCGCGCTGCCTCATGCTTTTCSGGATTGGAGGCTGCCACAACTGCTAGATCGACATCAGTAATAGGTAAATTTGGTTCTCGCGGTTCGTCACTTATTCCACCCATARTATCCATTTCATTATCTGCACCGCCAACTGCCCCATCATCCGCGTTAACCTGTTTGGCTGTGCTGGTTGCTATCGAATCTTCGTTTTTATCTTTTTTACCATCACGAATAAAACGCGTCATGCGTTTCAAAATTTTCTTATGCGATTTAGTRAGTTTGAATTCCAACGCATCACATCTTTAAAATTAGGTGCATCTTATAAATGATTTATAAAAAAACAATGTCATAAATAATATAGTTACTTGATTGTATAACAAGGACAACAGGTTTCATTATTCAGTGGTTTATAACAATAAAGACCGGAACGGCGCCAGCCGCGATCGATCAACTCCTGGTAATCTTGTGGAAACATTGTGTATGAATGCATACCTAAAAATTAAAAAAAAAAAANCTGATAAGGTTCTAAATGACTAATAAAATGCAATAACAATAATATAGCAAGTTAACAAATTTGAATGAMAATTTTCTAGGAAAAAAGTTTACATTTATGCACATATGTATGTACCATGCTATACTAAGTATCCAACTACATATAGGCATCAAATTGAATTTTTGGAAATAATACCTAGTACATACTACCTACTAGCATTTTGTTTTTTTATTCCTTTCAAATACCATAAATTTTTTCTATATTTGTTGTATTGAACAATTTATTATTCAATATTTTGTTGACAAATCAATATACATACATATATACAGACATGCATATTATTCCATTCAGAATATTAGTTGAAATTCCAAACTTACCATGGGACACCGATGTTTTTAAGCCTTTACAATAGCCACAGCGGCTACTCTGCTTACTGAAATAATGATTTATTGTAAATTCCATATTTTACTTTATGAAATTAAATAAATAGTTTGAGCTAACGAAACTATTGTTGAACAGCCGCAAAATATCTCACAAAATAAAATACATAGATAAAAATAAAGAAAAGTAAAAAACTGCTGTCAGCCAACAGCTGGCCGAATTTTCACGCTACCAGACGATTTTAATTACATTAATTTGAACGAACTTGTAGGTTTTTATTTTTGTAAAAATCGTATACTTGCTTTTCGTTTACATTTGTTATATAAAGATAAATTTAAACTTATTTAAAAAAGTTTTTGAGGGAAAACAGATATTACTTGAATATTCTTTAAATTATTACAAAAACAAAAAATTTATGAACACTGTACACACTGTGTGTCTCAAAGAATTTCCTAATTCACCTCACATCAGCTGTTTGGCACATTTCTGCTCTTTGAAAATACCATGATAGAGAGTATCCTATCAATACAACCGTTTTGTTCACTTCTTATTGGATTTTCGAAGAAGTCGGATGTTTTATGTGTCGGAAGTCGAAATCGTAAAATAGATAGTTTTAAAGTTACGTAGTGCGGTAATAAAGTGATAAAAGAATATACGTTTGAATGCAAGTTAATCGGTTCGTTGTGACATCAGCTGATTATAATTGATAAATAAATGTAGAATGAATATGCCGAATTTTTATTAGTTAGTGATTRTAACGATTGAACTATTATATGTATGTGGGCTTATGTAAAGTGCGAGGAAAAAATTTTAGTGCGCAAGTATTTTTTTTTGCAACACATGCATACTTAAATGCAAATACATATGTATATAACAAACTAAATACAAATTGCTATCATGCTTRGTGTATATTAATATGTATGTATCTACAAATATAGAACGTTTTGAACGTTTTCTCGCGAAATACACTAAATTAATGACGCACATATACATAAGTGGTTGAACTTGTACCTTTTCTAATTAGACCTTTGGAAGCACATGTCCTTCTGCACAAAAAAAAAAAAAAATTAAGAGCCAAAAACAACAAATTAACAACGTTTTTTAATTAAAAAATTAAAATAAACTAGAATAATTTCCACAAGTAAATAAGTGCTCAGTTGTAATGTGAAACCGATTATTTGCATTTCAAGTGAAAATATGCGTGAATATAGCTGTGTTTACGAATGAAGTATAGCCGGTAAACTATGCAAATATTCAAATGCTCTCTCGTAAATTTTGTTTTGGTGGTGACTTGCAAGAAATCATGTATAATGTAAAATATATTAAAAGCTAGTATAAAGCAAAAGTAGTTATTTTTTGCGTTTTCAAGCTCTCAGTATTGTTTATTGAAGACAATATACTTTGAATCTGTTGCTATTAAATTTCTACGAAAAAATAAATTATTTATTTGCCATGACCATATGAAAATAGCTTACCTGTTGRAACTTTTAATTTTAGTTTTTACATACAAACATATCCATATTTTACTCACGATTTATGCCAATAATAATTTAAAGTTTTAATGATAAAAATATTTTTGTTAATTGACAAAATGTTGTGTGAGTGAAATAATCGAAAAAAAGTTTGGATTGCGATTTTATGACTTAAAAATATACTTTAAAAAGTATTCAAAAAAACGCTTAATTTTGAAAATTAATCAAAAATTAAAACTATATAGATTATTTCCAAAATTAGTCAAATAAATGCCAAACAGGCTTAAGACCACAACTTTATGTAAATAAGACTACCGTGTCACTGGCACTGGATGAGGTATAGTAATTAAAAATTTATATTAAAAAAATATGGAAGAACCGGTTATTTTGGAAATGAACTTATTTGAACAACATCAAGTTGATTTAAAAAATAAATGTTTATTTTAAAAGTTCAGAAAAATAAATACTTAAATATAATTTTTTCAAGGTTTAGAAATTATTTTTGTTGTTTAAAAATTAATAATGAATTCGAAAATTGCTTTTAAAATTATAAAATGTTTTTATTATTGCATATAATTAACATTTATATATTTAATTGTTCTTATTTTTATTTTTTGTTTTTAAGAAGGTTGAGAATAAATTGAAGTACATACATACTATATGGGCATATGCATGTAATAAAATTCGCGACAATACTTAATGATTTATTTACTTTATATTTTTTTTTTGTAATGTAATTGTAATTATATTCGATAAATATGCATATTACATACATATATCTTCATTATATTATTATTCTGATATCTTAGCAACAAATTTGTGTTCCATATAATATATAGATACATATGTCAGCTGTAACTAGACAGGAAACTCCCACATTGCTGCGTTATTTCAGTTAATTTTATTTGTATAAATATTAGTGAACACGATGGAGCCCAGTTTTGATACTTGGGACTTTGCCGTGCTGATTATCATATTGGCAATATCGGCTATGATTGGCATTTATTATCGCTATACGGGCGGAAAGCAGAAAACAATCAAAGAATACCTCCTGGCCGATCAGAGTATGACTACATTTCCGGTTGCTGTGAGCTTGATGGCGAGCTTTATGTCCTCCATCACGCTACTTGGTGTTTCCAGTGAAAGTTATCAATTTGGTACCATGTTTTGTATAATCAATTTGGCGTACATCATAAGCACACCGATTGCAGCATATTTATTCCTACCGGTCTTTTATCGCATGCGCACCATGAGTGTTTATGAATACTTGGAACGTCGCTTTGGTCACTCAACACGTCTCGYCGCYTCGATTGCCTACTCYATACAGATGATACTYTAYAYGGGYATTGTACTTTATGCGCCAGCGTTAGCACTCGAAGCTGTTACCGGTGTGAGCAAAGCAGCCGCTATATTGGTTATTGGTTTAATTTGTACCTTCTACTCGACAATTGGTGGCCTAAAAGCTGTGCTTATAACGGATGTATTTCAATCGCTTTTAATGTTCGCKGCCATTTACGCAGTAATCGTGGTGTCGGCAATCAAAGCTGGTGGTTTGGCGCCAATTTGGCAAGTTGCCGAGGAGCGTMATCGTATATATTTTACGGACTTTTCTCTGGATCCCACTGTGCGACACACGTGGTTGAGTCTCATTGTTGGTGGTATGGTGACTTATATGTCATTGTATGGTGTCAATCAGGTGCAAGTGCAACGTTTATTGAGTGTACGCAATTTGAAGAGCGCCCAGGCGGCACTATGGTGGAATTTGCCCATTTTGAGTTTGCTCAGTTTCAGCACATTGTTCAGTGGTTTAGCGATATTTCACTATTACAGAAATTGYGATCCGCTACTGGAGGGTAGAATACAATCAAGAGATCAATTGATGCCTTTATTTGCGGTGGATACAATGGGTAAGAGTMTGAATTTGTTTTTAATTGATTGATTGAAAGCATAATTAAGCCATACATTTTTATTCAACACAATTCATCGCAATAAAAAGAATATTAGTGTGGGGCATGAACTGGATTTAATATTATTGCGCTATGTTGTACAATTCTATAAGTGGAAACCCTTTAAGAGATTTCCCCTAATATTTATTTTTGTAAGATTCATTTTATTTCAGCCACTAATATTAAAACCAATTCCGATTATATCACAAGGAACGAGTTAACAGTTTTTATGTTATGTGTTAAATACTTTATAAAGCTCCTCTTTTCTGCTTTAATCGCAAATCTCAATCCACATTATCATCATMTTCATTAAATTATTATGCCATTTTCTACCACTGTTTCCAAACAGGTCAGTATCCAGGCTTATGTGGTCTCTTTGTATCGGGTATCTTCTCCGCCAGTCTCTCGACTGTTTCATCAGCCGTCAGCTCGCTATCGACTGTGACRTTAGAAGACTACATCAAACCATTGTATAAACACTTTACGAAAACACCGTTACATGAAACAAAATCAACACTGCCAAGTAAAATCATGGCCTGCATTTATGGGCTTGTCTGCATCGGGATGGCTTTCACCGCTAGTTCTATGGGTGGCGTTTTACAAGCATCTCTCACCATTTTCGGTGTAATTGGTGGACCATTGTTGGCTCTCTTCACACTCGGCTTATGTACGACGCGTGCGAATCAACGTGGCGTACTTTTGGGCCTACTAATCGGTTTCATATTTTCCTTCATTATCGGTTTCGGTGGTCCGAAACAACCGCCAACCCCATTAGATTTTAAAGATGATGGTTGCCCAACTGCTGGGAATGGTAATATGACTTTGGTCGCCGCGGCCCTTACACAGACGTTTAATACAACAACCGCACAACCAAAGACAGCGTCGCCAGCAATTGAATATAATTGGTTTTATAGATTGTCATACTTGTGGTTCTCCGTAATTGGTTTTTTAATAACCATAATTGGAGGTTATGTTTTAAGTTTGCTATTGGAGGTGTTGAAATGGGCTGACAATAAACAAATCTATCTAGATAGTCAGCAGATCGATGTAGACTTATTCATACCACCGTTAGCGCGTAGATTGAGGAGGTGTGACATTGAAGAAATGACAAAGTTATAAAGCGCTTTCCGAGCTATCACCAAAACAACAAATTACTTAATTATAGGTGACACTGCGAAAAGTATTTATGTATATAAAAAAGTAATTAATTTCAATTCGCTTTGGTTGCTTAATTTTAAGATTAATTGATTGATTTAGTAAAAGTTGAGCGCTCTACATAGCATTTATTTACAAAAAAGTGGAGCCAAAACAGTTTTTTACCCCAAATTCCAGCCAATTTGAGGCTAACGTAGTACAATAATATTACTACATGCAGATTTTAATATTAAATTTTTTTTTAGCATCGAGGTTTATAAAAAACTTATTTATCACTTATTACAAATTATTTTTAATGGACTACAACCCCTAAGAAATGTATATGATATAAATTACAAGGAGCTTATACTTAATTATTCAAACACTTTCGGTCTGAAATATTGAAAATTAAGTTTCTATGCTTTTAAAGCTTAAAAAGAATGAAAGCTTTAGAGAAATTTAATTTTTTAAGTTAAAAGCTCACAATTTTGCATTTCAAAGTAGTTGGTCCCATKAAGTACTCTATATTTCAATACTAGCATGGTTTCAAGAATTATGAAATCACAATAGTATGTTCTCAAGGCGACCTTAACCTAAAAATTAATTATTATTATATAAATAATTTTCTTTAAAATTTAAWTAATTAAGTAAGTTCGTGATTACCTCTTATTATGTTTAATAGTCTTTCTAATATTGTATAAAAAATCTAAAGCTCTTAGTTTAAGCACTATATTTCTTTTTTTAATTAATAAACAAATTAAAGTATATATTTAATTGAATAAAATATTTATAATTTTTACAGTTATTCGTATTTACGATAAAAATAAAAATAATTTTGTTGTAAATGTGCTCGAAAAAAATTATTACAAATATATTTACTACAATACTACACATTTGTGTCAGATATAAAGAGTCTTCCATTTTAMCTGTAGTCAGCTGAAAAAATATTGTGACGGGTTTAATGCTGATATGCTGTTAATAAACGCTGACTGCCTTTGGTGGCTTTGAAGCATTATTTTTTATAAACACTGCGTAAATATTATTACAACAAATAAATTGTAAATAGTAAAAAGATTGAGGAATACATTTTAGTGACAATTCATTTTTGAAATAAAAGTAGATTAACATTTTTTTATTAAATAATTTTTTTGTATTAAAAAGAATTTATTATTCACAGTAATTATTTTCTCATATTTGTCTTAAGTAATTACTATTACTATCATACATTTTTTTTTTTAATTTTTTTCAAATTTATTTTATTTTTATTGTCTTTTTTTTATTTCTCACTTATTGCTTTAAATATCAATAATCAATTTTAATAATACGAAACTATGATAACAGTCTTAAATATAGCTTCCTTACCAGAGAATGTTAATGAATTCAATCGTCTATGTTCATTAACATTCTCTGTGCACAGGTGCAGCGCTTATAAGCAAAATGTTAATGAGTAAATGATTTTAAGAGCAGTGATAGGAGAACTGTTAATTAACATATTACGTTAGATAGATGTAGCGATATTTGCTGTAAAGTCTCAAACATAACATCCTTACCTAAGAATGTTGAAGAATTCAATCATTCATGTTCATTAACATTCTCTGAGCACACGTTTGGCAGCATATGAGCAAAATGTTAGTCCTTGGCRGATAATTTTAAAAGCAGTGATAGGAGAGCTGTTAATTAACACATWATGTATTTGCTGTAATCTGTAATCTGTTTATCAACAATAAAATATTCTATATCTATATAGAATAGTCAGCATACAAAACGATATGAAGAATCATTACGGAGTACGTACCTACAATAATTTACAAGTTTATATACACATACATATATGTATTTACATATGGATATACATACAAATAATCGTAAAATGTTACCTAGAAAAAATACTAAAAATTATAAAATATGTGTATAAAAATAATATACCACATTGAAAAAATGTATATGTATGTATCAAAATTCTGTTAAAATGTAAATTATCTATTTTTGAATAGATATGAGGAATATATAATTTTATTGCATTATATTAAGGGCTAATATAAGCACGTGAAAATCTCAAAAGCGTATATTTTTGTTCTTAACATCAGAAGAAGTAAAACTATGCGTACATACATTCTTGCATATAATTAATGTGTTTGTAATAAAAATGTTGTAATAAATCATGCATAAAACCTAGAGAAAAATCAATTTACTATTATTTTTATATTTGGAAGTRCCCAGAGTGATTTCACACTTCAAAGAGTGTCCTACCTATGTAAACATATACATACATACATAGATATAATATCTCTATGATAATATGTATGTATATTAGAGCGAAATTTTCTTGGAAATACCCTAAAAAAATTACATGAAAATGTTAACCCTTAATATTAACATTAAGAATTGGACCAAGGCATGTAAAAATTTCCATAGATAATACACTACAATYGTGATTTTTTATCTTTAAATTCCTACAGATCAGWGGTATTTTATGGCTCGCTTCGACTTTAGGCGCATATTTCTCAAAATAGTTCACTCTACAAAAGTACCCAGTGCAACAAAGTASTAACTCACACCGGCGAGGTRGTACGGGGCTCTAAACCTGGCTTTTCCACGAAATTCGCATTTTTTGTATRTATCTCGTAAATGACGAGAGCTATACAAAAAAGTTCCGAGGTCAAAATCGCTATCGTTAATACTTCTCCAGATATTCGGCTTTCTAAGTAAGGCTTTATAGAATTTTTATAGATTGTGTTGGGTGTTTTTTATGGTATCTCCAGGAAAATTTCGTGACAGGACTGAAAAAATYAATAGTTAAAAAAAATCACTAATGTACATATATATTTTCCAGTTCCATTATCATTAGCAGAAGCAAGCATTTTATTGAATTCTATTCATGTCTAATATAATTAGCTATTGTAATGACGAAACAAAATTTTTAACGTTCATTATCATTTTTTTAATTCAAATCTCAAAATTTTACTCTCCATTGAAATGCTTTCCCCTCAACTAACCTAGGTTTTTTCAAAGCAACTCAACACAGAGAAAACAGTTAACTAACACGACCGGAAGGCACATATGTCAGGTATGTTTGTTTGGATCACGATCGGATCGGAAAATTCATTAACCGATTGTTTGTCGCACATGCTTACTCTTTTAAGAACAAACGTTATACCTACCTATATTAGTATGTCGTTTATGGCGTGAGCAGTGAGCAGTGAGATTGTCGTTTGCCAATACACGAAAGCACTTAAATATTATTAAACTAATTGCGATTGCTTTAATTCTCTGCATATTTTGAGCTCTGTGTGACTTTAAAATTTCTAATTCACCACACCACYACGTCAGGTGTGCTCACTACAATGCGCGCCATTTGAAAATATCGAGTTGAGAGTATGCTTTCAACGCTCACTTCTTATTGAATTTTCGAAGAAGTCGGACGCTTTATGAGTCGAAGGTCGGTATTCGTAAAATATACTGCTGTTAGGTGACGCGTTGCGGCAATAAAGTGTTTATAGGTACGTACATGTGTATGTATGTATGTGCAAAGGTACGGTTTGTTTATGTTAATTGTTTATAATTGATAAACAATTGTGATGATTTGTTTGCAGTTAAATTATTAAATGACAGATTTAATATTATATTTATGTATCTAAAGTGTGATTGAAATTTGTAGTGCGCAAGTTTTGTTTTTGCAACATAGACGTGTATACATATTTACATATACATCCTTAAATATAAATATGAATGCGCGTGTATGAAGAAAAAGTAAACAGGAACTGTTTGTGTTTAGTTATACATACATATTTTTGTATGTGTGTCAGTGAAGAAGAAAACGAATATGTATGTACATACATGCATATGTAGTATATACTTTTCGATGCGTTTGTTTGGTGCTAAATTCATGACGTAAAAGTAGCGGATTTTGTTTTGTTTTTGAATGAGCAAGCACGTGCTGTTCGGCGCAACAACAACTATGCCGGTGTTTTTTATGTGCCTTACTCCATTTTGCTATACAAATATTTTGAGCTTTTCGGTTAGAAATTGAATCATGCTCGTATATTACAACATAAAATGCGTTGATGACCTTTGAATATTAAAATGGCGCGATAATTAATATATTAATATTAAATTATTATCTAATTTTTGGAGAATCGTGTGCTATGGATCATGATCGCAAATTTTTTAAATTTTTCATAATAAAGATTTTCGGTATTAGAAACAAAAGAAAAAAATAATAATAATTTAAACGTTCATGCAATTATTTATTAGTGCATTACTTGCAACCCTGATAGTGATTGAAGTCTTTCCGTTTTGTGACCGCAATTCGGATCAAGTTGCAATGGAATAATAAATATATACTATATTAAAAATGAAACCACAATTTATATAATAAAATGTAAAAAAAATTAAATTAAGTTGTAAAAATTGTTATAAAGTGAAAATGTGGTCAATCGTAAAGTTAAACTGATTATTAGTATTACAAGTTAATTGAATAGTTGTGGTATTATAGTCCTTTCGAATTTTATTTTATTGTGATAATAAATCATTGTGAGCAGAAGTATCCATACGTCTTTCATAAAGTCGGGTTTTTATAACAAACGTTCATAGATTATCAAATCGGTGGTATTCCTCAAAGCTATATGTTAGTACTAGGTGCGTTCCAAAGTAAACAGGAATTTTGAAAAAAACCGAACAAATGTTTTTTTTTTGACAAAATSRATTCATTTTATACAAARTAGTATATTTCTACTTCAATACAGTTCCTTGCGCGGTCCAAAAGCATGTCAAACGAGTTTTTCAGCTCGTTGACCGGTATAGCCGCCATTATGCCGGTCCAAGCCTTTTGAATGGCCTCAACGTCGCACGGTGCCATACCAGGTGAATACGGGGGGGTTGTGGTTAATGGTTAAAATGTGAGTTTTGGTCAAATAATCGGTCACGAGCGTCGATCGATGAGACGGCGGCGCATTATCGTGCAACAAACGCCAATATTCGGGCCGAACACGTCGAATACGGCGCACCAAACGGTCAAAATGCGATAAAACGATGTTTTGGAGATGTTCAATTCCATTAAAAGTCCTGTTAACTTTGGAACACACCTTGTATGTATGAGGATTATACTCGGCCAATACAATAGCAGCATGTCACAATTCAATTATTTACTACGATCAATATATATGACAGCTATAGTTATAGTGAACCGATATCCTCAATTCCAACTTCTTGGAAAAAACTTAGGGACTAGTTTACATATCTAAAAATGGACTGCCGGACAGAGGAGAATGGCTAAATCAACTCAGCATATTTACGCTGAACAATTATATGTACATACATATGTACTTACACACAGGGTCTACGACGCTTTCTTCTACACCGCAATACTTTATAACGTTTTTACTTAATTTCTCTAATTTCTGATATTAGTGCTACAATTTTTATTGACATGACTCATTTGCATTTCTGCTTATTATACTATATAGATTTATAACAGCTGTAATTAGGCACGAAATCCATACTTCGCTTAGTTATTTCTCTATATTTTATTGATATAAACATTCATAAACACGATGGAGCCGAGCTTTGATGGTTGGGACTTTGCCGTACTGATTACTGTACTGTCGATTTCAACTTCGATTGGCATTTACTATCGCTATACGGGCGGAAAGCAGAAAACAATCAAAGAATACGTCCTGGCCGATCAGAGTATGTCCACATTTCCAGTTGCTGTGAGCTTGATGGCGAGTTTTATGTCCTCCATCTCATTACTCGGTATATCCAATGAGAGTTATCAATTTGGCACCATGTTTTGTATAATCAATTTGGCGTACATCATAAGTACACCGATTGTAGCATATTTATTCCTACCGGTCTTTTATCGCATGCGCACCATGAGTGTTTATGAATACTTGGAACGTCGCTTTGGTCACTCAACACGTCTCGCCGCTTCGATTGCCTACTCCATACAGATGATACTTTACACGGGTATTGTACTTTATGCGCCAGCGTTAGCACTCGAAGCTGTCACCGGTGTGAGCAAAGTTACCGCGATATCAGCTATTGGCTTAATTTGTACCTTCTACTCGACAATTGGTGGCCTAAAAGCAGTGCTGATAACTGATGTTTTTCAATCGCTTTTGATGTTCGCTGCCATTTACGCAGTAATCGTGGTGTCGGCAATCAAAGCTGGTGGTTTGGCGCCAATTTGGMAAGTTGCCGRAGAGCGTAATCGTATATATTTTACGGACTTTTCTCTGGATCCCACTGTGCGACATAGTTGGTTGAGTCTCATTATCGGAGGGATGGTGATATATATGTCAGTGAATGCTGTCAATCAGGTGCAAGTGCAACGTTTATTGAGTGTACGTAATTTGAAGAGCGCCCAGGCGGCAATATGGTGGAATGTACCTATACTGAGCGCACTAAGCCTAAGCACATTATTTAGTGGTTTGACGATATTTCACTATTATAAAGATTGTGATCCCCTACTGGAGGGTAGAATAGAATCAAGGGATCAACTGATGCCATTATTTGCGGTGGATACAATGGGTAAGAGCCTGAAAAGGTTTTTTATGATTTGAATGGATCTTTTTTGAACACTAATTTTGTTTCAAATTATATCTAGACACGATTAAAAAGTTTTTAGTTTCATAAACCTCAGTATGTTCCTTAAACGTCAAACCATAAAACCACATCATACATTACACGTACCAAAATTGTTGTGTTATTTTCCAACCATTTTTCCATCATAGGTCARTATCCAGGTTTATGTGGTCTCTTCGTGTCAGGCATATTTTCCGCCAGTCTCTCAAGCGTTTCATCAGCGGTGAGYTCACTATCGACTGTAACGTTAGAAGACTACATCAAACCATTATATAAACATTTTACGAAAAGACCGCTACCYGAAACAGAATCGACACTGCCGAGTAAAATTATGGCCTGCATTTATGGAATGGTCTGTATCGGTATGGCTTTTACAGCTAGTTCTATGGGTGGTGTCCTACAGGCATCTCTAACCATTTTCGGCGTAGTCGGTGGACCATTGTTGGCCCTCTTCACACTYGGTTTATTTACGACGCGTGCGAATCAACGTGGCGTCCTTTCSGGTCTACTAATCGGTTTGATATTCTCCTTCATTATCGGTTTCGGTGGTCCGAAACAACCGCCAACCACGTTAGATTTTAAAGATGAGGGTTGCTCAGCTGCTGGTAATATGACTTTGGTCGCCGAGTCCCTTACGCAGGCGTTTAATATGACAACCGCGCAACCAACAACAGCGTCGCCTCCAATTGAATATAACTGGTTCTATAGATTGTCTTATATGTGGTATTGCGTAATTGGTTTTTTGATTACACTAATTGGTGGATATATYTTTAGTTTTCTATTGGAGGCTCTAAAATGGGCTGACAATAAACAAATTTATCTGGATCATCAACAAATCGATGTAGACTTATTTGTACCACCTTTAGCGCGAAGATTAAGACGGCACGACGCTGAGGAATTGACAAAGTTCCAAGGTGCGTAGGAATAAGCGTATTGTGAAGTTCAATTGTATGTTAAATATGCTACTCAAATAATTAGAATATCTCTTTATTAATTTAATTAAATAATTGACTTGTTAATTTCGAACTTTCTTCTTTGCATTTATTTTTAAGAAAGTAGAGCCAAACTAACTGTTAGCTCAAAAAAATAATAATTTTATAGGTTTATGTATACTGCAAAAATACTTAATAGCTGCGAAGCCTAAAATATTTACTATTTACTTAATAAAATAATTTAGTTTATTTGTCAATTTTAAGCACTTTACTAATGACTGTAAAATATAATAATATTTGAGTTAATACTTCACTCAGGAAAATGTTACTATTTTTAGTGTTATTTGTATTAACGAAACGAGAAAAACTCTGAAATAAATGTAATATGTATTTTTTTAATTTTTCATATTTATGGCAGATATGTAAGAAATCTGATGCAAATTTTTCCCATTTGTATCGTCGTCAGCTGGAAAAGTATTGTGAGGGTTTTAATGCTGATTTGCTAATTAATAATCGTTGCTAGCTTTTATTGGCACATGACATTAATTTTTTTACCACTTAATTTTGCACATTATACCATATATAACTACAATTAATTTTGCTACAAAATTTATTTTGCATTAAGTTCACAGTAATTATTTCACCTAATTCCGCTTAGCTGCTTTATTATTAATTTAAATATACATACATACTACTATGGGCAAAAAAAGAAAGGTTTTTAATTGGAGTTTCGCGCGAAAACCCATTTGCCGAAATATTGCTTTCTAGTTTAGTATGACCGTAAGTRACATCTGTGCCAARTGTCACATCTAAATAATCATTATTGTTTAGTATACGTTTGTCTTTCTGAAGTACATAAAGTGYATTTGGCGATTTTTTATAATGAGTGAAATTATTCAAGAAGAAGTTCCATTAAATTGTGTGCGCGGAATAAAATTACTGGCGGCGAAACCTTTACAATGCTGGAAAAGGTCTTCGGTAATAATTTTTTGTCGCGAGCAAGTGTTTTTGTTTGGTCCAAGTTATTCGAAGAGGGTCGAGAACGCCTTGACGACGTACCACTTTCAGGACGGCCATCAAGATCAACTGACGATCAATACGGTAATAAAATAAAGGAATTTATGGTTGAGAATCGACGATTAATACTAAGAGATTTTACTGGTATCGTTGGAATATCAGTAACGTACAGTAAACACCATTTTGAAACACTACCTGGGCCTAAGAAAAGTGAATGTTCGATTGGTTCCAAAAACACTAGATTTTTTCCAAAAACAGCGTTGCTTCTGATTTGTAAGTGGGTCCCTTAAATATTCTATTTGTAGAAAAGATAACGGTATTTTAAAATCACATCCAATTAACTATATACTTATACTATACAATACCTATTCAAAATTTAAATGCTGMATTTTTTACTTCAACTTTCAAAATATTATGTTCAAAATTTCACAAGCATGTGCCCTCATATCTTTAAATATATATGTACATACGTACACAAAATTACCTATAAATATTGAATTGTGTTAGAGTCTGATGTAAGCACGTGAAAAACTCAAAACCGCCAAATATTTAAGCTAAAGTACAAAGTCTAGGAAACACATACATACTTACATATGTATATATGTATATACAGCCGTCGGCAASTAATAACACACGCTCCATTCTTTGTAGATGGCTGATGAGTATAATGATAAAACATTTTGATATACCGTTATTTATRTTCCYAAAAGTCTTGCATTGTTCGTGTTACTCTATTTACTACTACATCTACTCAGTTTTGTAATTGTGAAGCTAAAGTTCTTGTAATTTTTTCCCAAAATACATTACAATATAGAAAATGCATTAAGTGCAACAGCTAATTAGAAATAGTTGTTCAAAGAATTAAAGCTCCGTAAGGTGTTAATTTTTGTTAATAATATTATTGATTTCTGGTAAGCATGTGTTTCAAAGTTGTGGTTTAAAATATATTAAAATGTATTATCGATGTTTTTTAATGAGGAAACCCTGCAGCTGTACAGTATACACCTACCCTTCGCAGATACATTTTTGACCATCGCCCGTCTAAAAAGGTGTGCAAAAAAATTTCGAATAAGGTCAAATGTTCAAAAAAATTATTTTTTAATGTCCTTAAGCATATACACAATTTTAAACGATTTTAAGAAAGAAAAAATCCGAAAAACTTCAACAGAAATATACCGCAGTATAAACACTATCTCCCGAAGAGACCCAAAAATAGAGTTCCATTGACATACTACGTAAAATTCAAGATTAATATAATGGCCAACTATCCAAAAAAAAAAATTCCCCGGTATTGGTCGTTTCTGGATTTCACGGCACAACAGCACGCAGGAACCCAGTTCTGACTGAAATTCGTAGAAACGACGCTTGGGCTTTGCCAACTCTTATTGGTCTAAGATAACAAATCAACGGAGTTACATACATACATACATATGTATATCGTTTGGAACGATGTAAAAAAAGTTAATAGCTTAGGTCCAGATAGTCAAAGGTATGTGCGCCATCCAATAAATAAAAAATTTGATCTCGCTATGTTCCTCGGGTAGTTGAGTATTTTGAAAGATYAATAATGGTGCAGGGATATTTTATCTGGACTGGTGTTGGTCCACTTCATGAGATTAATGGAATTTTAAACAAGGAGAAATGTGTCGATGGCCTAAAAAATGTCATGTTGCCATGGGCTGAGGAAAATTTGCCTATTATAAGGAAGATAACAATTCAAAGCATATGTCTAAGTTGACACAAAAGCTTTTTAATGAAAATTCTATCAATGTTTTGGAGTGGGAATCGTCCAGCCCAGACTTAAACCCTATAGAACATCTCTGRGTGATGTTAAAAGAGCCATATGCACCAAAAATAACCCAAAATGTGGATGKTCTTTGTGATGAAATTAGAACGCCATGTCAAGCTACATCATTTGTGTCTTATAACGTAAATTCGGAATCGATGTGAAGCAATATTAAGGTAAACAAAATACTAACTGGAASTAAGAAAGTTYTTGTGGTATCATTATGTTTTGTTGATAAAATACTTTCGTTTCTAGTTAGTTGTCACACTTTAATCGTTGATTCCACATGTTTTTATTAAAATATTCAAAACAAAAACGAATTTTAAACAAAATTTTTAATATTAGAGTTAAAGTTTAATATAGGTTTCACTAAAATAAGTGAAAATACAATAAATATACGTGATTTATTGGAAAATTACATAATTTACTTCAAAATAGATGTCGTTTCTAATTAGCTGTCAACAGCTGTATATATATGTAAGTATTTATGATTGATGACCATAATGCAATTTATTAATAACCGATCTCTAAGTAAGTGCTTCAATATTTACTAAAAGTAATCGTATTTAGAGTAGTTAGTAATGAGAAATGTCAAAATGTCTATCCTATGTATAACTCGGAACTCAGAAAGAAAGAACCCTCAGCCTATCTGTAGAAGTGAAGTGTTTTCTAGACAATTTTAAGTGCGCACAAGTATCTACTGAAGGGTTTGTGAAGTGGTTGAGAATTTATTATAAGCCATAAAGTTGCGTCAACTCTCAATATTTAAGATTTCCATTGGTAAACTACACATAATTTGAGACGAATGTTATACAAAAGTTTGTTTATATTTGATTTTTATGATTATGAAATCTTTCTGAAAGTTTTAGAATGGGGAAACGCTTTATTGGAAATTTCGTCATAATAGGATTTTCTAAAGCTTTTTTTACATTTATAGGGTACACTTAGTTTGACAGCCTAAAATAAATTGATTTTTGAAATAAATAAAAAAGAATTCTGTATCAATAGTTTTATATTTATAAATATTTTAAAAACACGAAACATATAAAAAAATGAAATAATTTTCTGCTAGAATGTATTATTCGTTCAATGATCTACAGTCCAAAAAGTAACTAAAGTTTAAATTGAATTTTACACAAGATTTTGGTAGTTTTTGGTCAGATTAAAAACTTAGTAGGTTATTATATAGTAAAACATATACAGAACATGCTGAAAAAAGTAAATTGGAGAAATGCAGTTTTGAGAAAAACATGTTTAAAGATAAATTGATGGAGCKGATTGAACTAAACGGCTGCACTTTGGTAGGATGTAACTCAAGAACTATTTGAGATATCGATTTCAAATTTTGGTATGATATTTTTAAAGCTGTAGCCAATACAAATATGAAAATATAGATTTTTTAATTTCGTTCAACATAGATGTCACCGAGAGTCATCACCAATTTAARCGACCGTTCYCACGGCAGTCGGGTCTACTTAACCGGAGCGGACTTGGATTTTTATCCGGMCAAGGACTSTCAACTCGATAGATTTCTGCCGCTACAACAACCAATTTTGGCGATATTCCGATTTCTTTCTTGTTCATTGAAGCCTGAGCCCAGAAAAATGTTTAGAGGTATCATGTAAATTTTGGCCTTACTTTCATTTATTTCGCAAATGGTAAATGGGACTCTCACGTGCTCTGTGATCTCCCACATTGCACAGAACTTTCGATTACCTAAATGTTCATCGTTCAGATCGTTCATCTATCCAGTATGTCCCTTTGATATCGTTAAAGTGTTAGCTATCTCGTTCAWCTTCAGTTTATAGTTTTCCAATGAAATACAAGTATGTAATTTATTTGTTTTTAAGTTTTTTTTTAATACCCTTTTTGAACGCGCATAACATCAAATTTTGCAAATTTGTTTAGTCTGGACTTTGAGCTTCCGCGCTTATGCTTTGTCTAGCACTACCGCTTCAGCGACTTTATCGAAAAAGCGAATAAATATATCAAAATAAAATACAATATAATATATGTATATAAACATGAATTTGTAAATATACTACGATTTTCGATCATCTGACCCGTTCATTGACCCACAGCAATTTGCAATTTAAACTGTGGAAAAATTTCTTTTACCAATTGTGTTCTTAATCAAAAATGATTGTGCGACTGTGTCTTGGTTAGCTCTACCGAATTGAAATGCGTAAACAAAGCTTTGAGTAGGTAAATAGAGTCAATAGAAACGCGACTCAAGATCGGCATGTACACACACACATACATATATATATATATGTATGCGAATCTGAGCTTCACTTAAGCTTAATGCGAAAAAGTTTAAATTGCCAGCGAGACGCCTTTGTTTRATATCGGGTGACGCAGCGTTAGTGTATGATAAAATTAAAGGCGCCAAYTGTCCACATAGTATAAATTCACAAAAGCCGGCATGTGTTCATATTAGAGTA